CGGCGGGCAGGGCCCGGTGTGGCGCGGGAGGGCGGCGTTTGGGCCACGGGGTCCCTCGGGCCGTGCCGGACTGGCTTCGATTCTCTGCTTCTCTTCACCCCTAAAACGTGTGCCCGTGGGTGGAATTAAATCCGAACGCGGTCCTCGGCGCAGGGAATGGTGTTGGCGGTGCTCGATCCTATACCGACACTTGAGTAGCCGAGGGGTCGGAGTTTCTCACGTGCGTGTCCCTCTGGGGGGCTGCGCTCACCGCCGCGGTCCAAAGTCCAGGAATTACCTGGGAGAGTGGGAGGCAGCCGAGCACTAACACCCTCCAGAGCGAGTCGGGCTGCCCTGTCATCAGCTGTAAACAAAGTGTTTGCGCCTCGTTGGGAAATAGAGCATCTCTCAGTACGTTAAGTGCCGGGTAGCTTTATCTGTCTTCCTCCAAAGCTGCTCCTTTCTGGGGTACGACTAAGAGAGTTAAGGTCAGGGTTTTGGTTAGCTTTAACGTGCTTTTCCTCTAATCTGAGCGCAGTGAATGTCGCAAAGGTTGCTTAGGTTTGATTACAAACAGTGGAGTGATTAAAATCGCTGATTTTAATTGCCGTTTGAATAATAGAGGTAATCTTGTGTTGTGTTTATGCCGGATGTTAGTTTGAAACTAAATGTAGTGTGCTTTGTGAAATACACACTTATTTTCTAGGAGTAGGAAAAATACACCTTTTACCTATTTAGGGTTCACGAATATACATTTATCTAATGAAGTAAGCTGGATAAAAGCTCTCAAAATATCAAGGTGTTTAGGATAGGGATTTGATTGTAGTTTAAAAGACTGTATGGAATATCTGGAAATCTGAAAGTGGTTTACTCTTTATACTAAAGAAATCCACTAGGTAACACCTGTCTAGTTCATGGCTTCGCATTGATTGTTTTTGCTAGCAGCACACTTGACTGGTTTAGAACTAGAGGATTTTATAAACTCAGATTTCATCTTAGAGGAGGTGGAGAACAATGAGCACCTGTTTTGAATTTGGAGAGGTTTGTTGGTTTTGCTTTTAAATTTCTGAGGAAGAAATCCACTGACTAAAACAAGCCGAAGTTCTCTATAAGTACAGGACAGCAATGCTTGTCCCTGCTGCTTTAGCCCCTGAGCTCTAGCACATAAGATTAATTTCCTCAAAGCTTTAGAAGTAAACATGTGCTACTTAATTTAATTTTGCTGTAATATCCGAATGTGACACACTTGAGTTATCATTAGCCTGCCATCAGCTTTTGAAACAAATCATATTTTTCCCCAATAGCTGGTATTTTTAGAACATACCCAGTTTTAAGTCTTAAGTCATTGTAAATTATTTGCAAAGGAAGCTGTCTTAAATATTTGAAGCACTCTTAAGCCCAGAAAATGTATATTGTTTATTTGGCACTATGAATTAATAACAGCTTTTAAATGACTTAGCACTTTAAAAATTAAGTATTATTATTTAATAATTGTAGAATTCAAACGAATGCCTTTCCCAGTTATTACCAATCTCATATGCCAACTGAGTTTTTTTGATTTTCTCTTATAGACTGTGTGTGTGGTCACTGTCCAAGGTAGCAGATTCCATGGGCAAGTGTGTTTCTACTAGGAAAAAAAAAAAGGCATCCCTTGGGAATGTTGATAGACAATTCAAAACCACCCATATTCTAAAATCTGTGAATTGCTGTAAATTGATGAAATTAATAAGGTATTCCCATGCCAGTTCTCTGAATTTCTGTCTGTGGTATTTTGTGAGTTTGTGTGAAAGCAGAGCATGGTAAATAAGCTCTAAAGAAACACTGTTTTACAATGACAGGATATATTTTGTGAGTTTGTATGGTATGCCTCTGTTACTCTATATACTTAAATGTGCAGTATTTGTTATTCCTGCAGTTGGAGGTGTTAGCAAGTCCCATGTTTTTTAACACAGTTGCATTTTACTGTGGGTAGACAGAGCCCAGCTCTTCCCAGAAGTGAGTGGAAGGATGAGAAGCAGCAGGCACAAGCTGGAACCTTGTAAATTCAGATGAGGTATAAGTAAAAGACAATTGCTATGAGAGTGGTAAAATAATAGAGCAGGTTCCCAGAGAGGTTGTGGGATCTCCACACTTGAAGATGTTTGGGGCTTCCCAGGACCCTGCCCTGAACTGGTCTGTGTGTTGGTGCATGCAAAACAGGGTGTGCAAATCTGTGAGTAGGGGTTGTGGCTGTAATTGAAGAGCATATTCCATTTCTTGCAGCCTTGTAGCCAGATGTTTTAGGTGAAGGGTTTTCTCTTTGATTCAGATTACCTGCTGGATAGGGGGGCGGTCTGTGGAACATCAAGTGTGGATAAATATAATCATTAGCCATTGAATGGGGAAGAAAAGTGTACTTTAGTAGACTGACAAAGAGGTTTCTGTCATTAAATCTGGAGGAGGTTGGGGAGCTTAGCCATGAGTATTGTTTTGAGGATGAAGTGCATTCCAGGCTATTCCAAACTGGAATGTTAAAGCTGCACTCCTTGGATGTCCTGGAGATCTGGTATTTTGGTGATCATCCATTCCAGTGAGGCACTTAAAGAGAGCAGGTTTAGTGGAGGCTGCAAATATAAATGTCAAGTTTCAGGGGTAAATGTCTTGGGTTTTACTCTGTGAAACAAATGAATAGTTAACAAACAATTAAAAATAGGAATACAGAACTATAAGAAGGAACAGTTCGCATTTATTAGGAAGATTAATTTCTTTAGCTCTTCTGGGTTTCAAAACTAAAACAGATGGACCAAGACCTGCCTAAAATCCTAGTTTGACTTAAGCTCTAGCCCTTAGTCCCTTTTGGAGAAGTTCCCATTTTGGAATACACCAGCCTAAGAGGTAACTTCATTTTAGTCCTGTTGGGAAAGGAAGGGAGAAGGAAAATAAGTTGGACTACTTTGAAGTCTGTTGAATTAATAACAAAAAGCTGCGTAAATTTTCAATGTTGTAATATCACATACTCTTAGAACTTTTTTTTGTGTTTTTTTTCCCTTGATTTGGAGCCCTTCCTGGGTGTAAAATAGGTAACAATAAATAAAATATGTCAGCTTTTTTTTTTTTCTATGAACTACTTCGAGCATAGAAATTCTTGTATGTGGAGGCGATGGGTAACTGCTAAATCAAATTGCATGTATTTGTTTGCTGTTGGTTTGTATTTTAGAACAGGCAAGTGACTTGCCTGGTGCATAAACTGTCAAAATAGTATTTATTTTGGGAAAGGTAATTATTGCATATGCTCCAAGGCTGCTCTTCCTAGCCAGAGTTCTGGTAGTTCAGTATCTCAGACTCCTGCAACATGTCTATTTTTAGAAAGTTTAGAAGACTGAGCATTGCTAAATTAAAAAAAGGGAGTTGGTAATGAGTGTCTGGATGCAGGAAAAATTAGAACTTCTAGAACTGCCTGATTCTGCTTTTGGAAGTCACTTTGTCACTTGTCAGAATGTGACTTGTGCAATTTTTTTATTTGCCTGTAAAATGTGTTTACTAAGATAAACATATATTTGACCGTGAACACTGAGCTGTGTCTAAATTGTTTGCTGTTGTCTGGGGTGGGTGGTGGTGTCAGGCTACTGTTGTCTGTGGATTTGTGGCCCAAAATTTCCTCTATGAGGATGGAATGAAAGAATGGAAGTGGTAAAGATAGAGTGTGTCTGATAACCTCAGATTTTTTAGAGATGCTCTTTTGGACATAGACTCTTGGTTGAGAATGATAAATGTTCAGTTATTACTAATTGAGGTGGGGAATAACACTGTAGAAGGGTAATAGTTTTGGAAATTAATCTGAGCTCAAAGGCTTAGGCAGAGTTGATGCCAGTGCAGTGCTCACGTGTAACCTGATAAATTGAATTTTAGCTGTTCTAGTAAGTTCAAGTATGTAAGTTCTGAAAATATTTTTAGGAGACCTTGTAGCCTATCACTCAGATTGATAAGGTGTTACTTTGACCTTTCCCCCCCTCTCGTCTAACAGACAAGCTATTTTCTCAAAGTGTGCCCTGGAGAAATGTGACATTCGAAGTTCAAACAAAACATTGCAGGTGGATGAGCTGTTCTTCATCCTGTGACTAAATGTTGAAAGGATTTTAGTGTTCTTCAGGAACAGTCCTGTCTTCTGTAGTGGTTTGAAGTTCCCAAACATAGATTTAATTAGAGATTATGTAGGATTAATACAGATTAATAAAATAAATAAGATTATTGTGTCTGCTGCTGTAAAAATGCACCTATTTAGGGGGAGATCTCTGTGGTGTATTATGGATCTCCTCCACATTCCTTTCCCACTGCTTTCAAACCTTCCCTCCTGGCATTCCTGCTAGATCACACCTCATGCTCCTTTTAGTGTTTTTATGTATCGATGAGGAGAAATGGTGCCCTGAAACCTTAACTTTGGTTCATCTTTTTTGCTTTTTTTCCGCCCCCCCCTCAAAAAATGCATTTCTGGAATGAATAATTCCTAATGCAAGTATCTCATATGGGTATTTTACACTTAGAATCTACATCTTAATGACATAGCTTTAATTTTAAGTAGCTTTAATCTTCACCAGCAGATCTTTTTGAACGTTTTGAGTGAGTTTTTTTTCTCTCAGAAACCTCCTAAACTCCTTAACATGTTGGACAGTTACTTAATCTTTTAAAAAGCTCTTGCATTTTCATTCTAGCAATAAGAGAGATAAGTTGGAGCTCTAGATATGCTTTATCAATCCAAGTGTGGGTTGTGGTTCTGCTGATAAATGCAATGTGTTTTCTTTCCAGCTCAGGCTTGTGCAGATGTTCTGGCATTAGCCAAAGAAGCTAGAAAGCGAAACCTTGGTCCTCTTCATCCTTCCTTTAATGTGATAAAGATAATAAGAGATGGGCTGATGAGAAATCTTCCAGAAAACACGCACCAGTTGTCATCGGGCAGACTGTGTATTTCACTAACCAGAGTATCAGATGGAAAAAATGCCTTAATATCTAATTTTAACTCTAAAGAAGAAGTTATACAGGTATGTTTCTTTCTGGCAACTTTTAGAAATTTCTATAATCCTAAGTACCTTTAACATCTACTGTTGGATTTCTGCTTTAAGCACTTCAGGTATTGTTACTCTGACAGTGTAACTTTAAACTCTTTAAAAAAACGCTTTAAAAAAGAGGAATTCAAGCTTTTATACACCAGATTCATGTACTGGTTTTCCCAGTCAATGTGTCTGTGAAGTTTTAGAAAGGAGGTGCAAGGGATCAGTCAAAAAAAAGGATAAATGCCTTAAAAGTCCAATGGATCTAATGAAACTACAGCCTTAATGAATAAGAATTTATTTTATAAAGAGAAGTGTTTATGTCAGTAATGGAACAATTAACATTTATTTTTTATGGTCTCATTTTCTTATAGGCTTTAATCTGTAGTTCATTTGTCCCTATTTACTGTGGCCTCATTCCACCATCGTTTAGAGGTGTGGTAAGTCTCTGTTGTTAAGATCTGAAAATAGTTCTAGCTATTCTGAAAATACTAAGAATGCTTGTGTTTTGGTTTTTTTATCTTACTGTAAAATAAATACTTCCATTGTAGTTTCTTGTACTGTAGCTGTAACAACTTTTCAAAAAAATTAAGGAACACTGAATATGTGGAAGATACTATGTGTATATTAACACACATATATTGGTCTCTCTGTTCCTCCTCTGCCCCCTAAAATTCATTAATAAAAGAAAAAGATATTATAAGGTAATGAGTATGTAACCTGTGGGTAAATATTTATTGAGGGAAGTTATGCTCTTTCACCTGCACAAATTTACAGAAAGAGTCACCTATAATTGTTAAAAAAAATCTTGTTATATATTTTGTTGTATATCTTTGTGTTCTGGCTGTAGGAAGATCTGCCTTACAACTGGATTAAAGTGCTGTGTTCAGTTAGGTGCAAACAAAGCTTTTCAATACCTTTTGGCATTCGTACGCAGTGTAAGAAAGCTTACATTTTAGAGGTAAAATATCCACCTATTAGTATGTTCTATTGCTTCCCAGGACCTGCTGGTTACAAAGCCTCTTAATACTTCATGGCTGTACTGGGCTCTCTAAAATCCGCCCTTAAAGAGACAAAAACTGCAGGAAGTTGGCATGGTTTGTTGTAGGTGTTATAATTACAAGTCTGGAAGCAGGTCTGCATTTCAAATCAAGGAAGTGACATCGGTGGCTTTTTGTTACCGTGTTTTATTCACTTGAATTTGCATCCCTTCCAATTGTGGTGCTTTTTGCACAAGGAGAAGGGAAAGAAGAAAGAAAACTTTAAACATCCTTAACAGTGATTACACCCTGTTCTCAAGGCAATTTGCAAGTATTAAAAGGTCAAGAATACACATGAAATGTATTTTTTTTCCTTCATGTTGAAATTTAAGCAGAAGTGATTAGAACTTTATAGGGATTTTCGTTATCTGTACTTCTAAACCTTGTATGTCTCTTTAAACTCTTCCAGATTAAAGGTGTTATGGAAACAGGCTGTTGGACTGAATCCAAGGTTTCGGTGGATCCAGGCTAATCTGGCAGTTCAGTTCTTGTCACAAGACCACAATGTTATTTTAAAAGGCTTCAGAGTACACAAACATACAAATGATGCTTTATTTGGCCATATTTTGAGGAAAGGAAGGCATCATTCTATTCTATTAATCTTTACAATGATTTTGATATGATTTTAATGCTTAGGAGGCATATTTGGATGTAACCTGGTAAGAATACCACAGTTACTATGCTTGGCATGATTCCTATAGGCTTAAGCACAATAGAATGTCAAAAATGTAAACTTTGTGGTATCTTGCTGTTGACTGCTTGGCATTCCTGCCTGTATACTGTATAACAAAAGCTTAAGGATAACATTTAAAAGGTGGATCTGTCATTCCAAAAGCTTTTGGGTGTGATGGCTTTTGTTTGGCTTTTTTACTCCTTTCAAACACAGCAGTGGTTTTAGATTTAAAAAATTACTTGGAGGAACAGCTGAGCAGATACTCCAAATCATGAAAATAATTTAGATCAGTAAAACAGTGACTCAGATAAGTATTTCCACCTTTTAATAATTTCATGAGGTCTCTGCCAGACCTGTTGTATTTTATTTGTGTCACAAAGGACTTGGAGATTTTACTTGTACTTCAGTGATTGCATTACACACCTAAAGTTTGGCAGGAGCTCCGTGCTGCTGGGTCCAGAGGGTATCCTGGGAAGGAGACAGGTCATGAGCTGCCCTCTTCCTAATTCCTAATGTGCTTCCTAATAATGGTTAGGGCCTGAGTATCAGGGCAGCTGAAACTGATAATCCAGGTTGCTCCTGCTCAAATCACTGCTCTGTTACATTTATGTTTGACAAGGACCTACAGTTTGGGTTTGCTGCTCTTTTAGGAAGAAGGAAAAAGCAGCCTCTGAAGCAGCAAAGCTGGTGGTGTGGGAGCAAACCAGTTCCCTGTGGCCCACTGGAGAGCTGGGTGCTGTGAGTGAGTGGAGGGGCTGTCTGTAGCCCCTGCAGCTGCTGCACTAGACAGTAGTTACCCCAAAACAGAGCACTTTGGGGCTTGGATCTTAAAATGCCTGAGATGGTGATGCACTAAAAGTATAGAAATGGGTGATTCAGTGGGAAGGAGACAAAAGCATAACCTGGAACTTGCACGCAAAGCACAGAGTAGATGTTTGTGACTTGGCAAAGTTCCTGAAGCACTGTCCATTTTTACTCACACTTTCCTTATGTCCAGATCTCTTTTTTGACACTTTTCTATCAAATTCTAATTATAAAGAGTACTTTTAAGTTAGAATAGTTTACTATATTGGAACTTGAACTTTGAACTGTGGAGCTGCTTTTCTCTGCGTGTTGCGTAGGATTATCATCTTATCATGATATCTTATTATTATCAGAAAAATCCCAAATGGAATATGCTTGCACTGCCTATGGAACTATAGTTAGGAATGTTTATTGGCATTAGAGAACAGATCATGTTCTCTACTCACTCAGAATGTTTAGCTTGGGAACACAAGGCTTAAGTTACTGCCTTAAGTTCTGTTGCATTCTTGCGTGGGGGACTCTGCTGGTCAGACATTGTCAGCCCTTGAGATGTGTTGTTTCTGTTCCTTTTGGTAGCGCTACGTGGACGGAGGAATCAGTGACAACTTGCCTCACTATGAGTGTAAGAACACCATCACAGTGTCCCCTTTTGCTGGGGAGTGTGACATCTGTCCCAAGGGGAAGTCAGCCAACTTCCATGAGATGAATGTGACCAACACCAGCATTCAGTTCAGCCTGGGCAACCTTTATCGCTTAACACAAGCGCTCTTTCCACCTGAACCCAAGGTCAGCCCCTGCCTTCCTTGGCTTCATCTCTCCACATGAAAGCTTTTGCAGAAAGTTGCACTGTTTTAGCATTTCATCCAGTCACACAAACTTCTCTGGTGGTGTATCTTATTTCTATTTTTTCATATTTGTCTGTGTCCTCCTCAGTTTTAGTCTCTCTTGGACTTAAAATGCATATCCTGCTATTGACTTTCAGTATTTGGGAATCATCACAGGATTCTGCCGTAATACCAACAATGGGAAATTAACTACTGCCATTTTGTAGTCCTTTCCTGTTTACCTGCTAAGAAATTGGAAGTTCTAAAGCTTCCTGGTTTTGTAAAGGTCTTAATTAGTACCTGGCACAGGCAAGTTGTCTTTAGACTTTGCTCAGTGCTGTTAGTTTCAGATCTGAAGAGGGAATGTTCTTGAATTGCTGTTGTGGAAGTTGGAAAAAATAAATAAAAGCAGACCTTTTCAGTTGGCTTGGGATATAGTACAGCCAAGGAGCAAATTTTCTGACTACTACAGGTATATTTTAACTGAGTGCTTTTTGATCACTTCAAGACAAATGTGTAATTCTAATTATGCAGGGGTTTTTTGGGGTTTTTTTTAACCCCTGTGTAAGTGAGCTGGTGTGGCGTCTGGTAAAAGATATTTTCATAGGGATGATAAATCTAAGCCTGAGCATAAGAATTGTGCTGATTTTGCAGAGCTTTGTAAAGTGAAAAGCACTGGGAGGGAAGGAAGGGAATTGGCATACTTTAAACACTGTTTCATTGCTGCTAGCAGCTCCTGATGAGCTAATCAAGGAAACAAGAGGAGACAGTCTTCCAAACTGTTTGAATGCCATCATTCAGTGCATGTGTTATAGCTGAAAGATAAGTTAATGTACATGATCATGTATTCATCATCACTAACCATATTAACCTGAATCTGTTGAATTCCAGCAACTATTAAGGTGGCTTTTTTCTTAGAAGAGTGGAAAGTGGCTGAAAGTGGATTTTCATTCTGCAAACTGTTGATCTGAAGTTGAAACTCTTTTTTGTCTGACTCATTTACTCTATATTTGCAGGTACTTGGAGAGATCTGTGAGCAGGGATATTTGGATGCTCTTAAATTCTTGAAGGAGAATGGTATGTTAAACTTTTAGATAACTATTGATTATATGGTCTTAACCTGAGTTTAAAAAACAAACAAAAAGACCCCAGATCAAAACAAACAAAAATGGTGAGGAGGTTTTGTGTAGCTAAGAAGGGGGTTGGTCTTTGAGAATTTTGGAGGGATCATGATAGTTTCATTCTCCTAGAAATGCCATAGTCGTTGTTCACCTGAGGTGAACTGTGCCACACAAAAATTGAACTTTTGGAGTTTTGTCAAATCTGTGTGAAGTAAATGTTAAGTGAAATTTCCAAAGAATTCCAGTTCTAGGCAAATCATATTATTACTTGGCTTTGTCATTTGTGCAGGATGAGAATAGGCTACTGCTTCCCACTCCTCTGAAACCTGTGTCTTCTATTGCCTCCTCTCTGCTGTCATCCAAGTGATTTTCTAGTAGTCCAGAAGTGGCTAACACCAATAAAAGCTCAGTCACAGACAAACTCTCTGTGTGAGAAAAGACTTTAGAAGATGACAACTTATAATGGAGCAGTTGTTGACACCCAGATAAGTTTAGGAAGAAGAATTATGAGTTCAACCCTACTCCTAGAATTCTAATAGCATGTTTTATATTGATAAATATTACTGTTCTGCAATCTTTGAGACAAACAAGTTGAAAATAGTAACTTGATATTAATATGTGTTAAATGTGCCTGGATGAAGAAGCAAAGTGGTCCTGGGTCAGATCAGACGAATGGGAATGGAAACAGGACTTTTGCAGTATTACAGATAGTACCAGCTGCAGGATGTAATACAGTCATTGATGTACTCTGCTGATGCCTTGTTACTGAATATTCAAGTTGTCTTGAAACAATTCTCTTCACTGAAGAACCTCACAGTTCTGCTTAAGAGCTTGATTTTCTATAATGTTATTATTAAGTATTATTATTTAATGAGAGAGTCTTGCATTATAGCTTTTTTGTGATTAAAAGCACAAGCTCTACAAAGAACCTCTGGTTTGTGGCTGTCTGTGCTAAACTAGGTTCTGTTGCTGGCCTGCACCCACAGGTTTCCTGTATGCAGGATTCCATCTGACACTAATATCTGACATTTCTTGCAGTTTTTCCTTGGTCTCTCAGTTCCATGTTCTCTCTGTATTGCACTATTGTCCTCCTTTTCACACTGCTAATCCTATGAACAACTTTGTTTTTATTCTGTCACAGGGTTGTTTTGTTTCAAGCTTAATGAATGATAATTATAACCTTTCCAGGGTCATTCATTATGCCTCACCTTTCTTATTATTTCAGCTGAAGGAACTAATTCCCCCCCTCCATCTGTGACACTTCAAATACTTTCCTTTGCTAAATTCGCTGTATATTCTTTTGATATTTGTCTTTTACTAGTACTTGCAAGTAGGATATAAGTTGTGTTGTATGCAGGTATAGATTCTAGTCTTTTTTCATATGTAATTTTATAATGATTTTCTGGACACCAAGTGTAAATACACTTCTTGTGTTTTTCTCTTTGTACTTAGGATCTAGTGCTTGTTTCTAAGGTAGTTATTGTGCTATTTCTTAATTGGCACCAGTTTTGCAATGCAGCCCATGTTGATTTGGATTTGTACTTTGGATGCAACTGAAAAAAATATTGTAACCTAGTTGCTTTCCCTTTTCAACCCTGTTGTAGTAATGCCTCAAAGTTCTCTTGTGATACCTGCCATGTCAAATTTCCCATGTATCTGATGTGTTTTAGGTATTCTTTCAAATACATGTTAAATCAGTTTTCTTCCTCTCCTTTAAATCCTTTACTTTCTTGCAGGAAAACAACTTTGGTAAATGACTGTATGTTTCCAGGACAGTTTCACTTAATTGTTCACTTCTTTCCTTTTCTTTAGAGCCTGTTTTAAATTAAGACCTAAACCTTCAGAAGAGCCATCACTGTGATTAAACATTTGTGGGATCCTAAGAGCCAGGTGCATTTGATGTGGGGTAGAAGATGACGTTCCCTCAGGACAGGTCTTTGTTCAGACACACAGACCTCAGGTGCTGTCAGGTACTCAGGAGTCTTGTGGATCAAACCTAAGTGAAAGCTCTTGACTCTTTCAGGTATTCTGAATGACTCAATTTATATCCACTTGTCCTACACGAAAAGAATCCCTCATGAGGCTGAACAACAACATATTGACCATGTGAAGAGAAGAAAATTGTCAGAAAATAACAGAGTAGAAACCTTGAAAATGACCAGCTTAAATGACCAGCTAAAGCAAAATCCATGGCCTTTGGAGAAGAGCATATTTGAGAGTCTACCTCCCAGACTTCGTAGAGGTGCATGCTTCAGTCTGTTTACTGTAAATCTGAGTGGCAAATTTTGGTTTTTTTGGGGTTTTTTCCACATTAATTCTTAGATCTATTGCTTAGAAGTTCTGGATAATGTGTATTGTCCCTGTGGCATGAGTCTGTGTTCCCATATTTTAAAATATCATAGAGAAAGTTTGTGGTAAGAGTGCCTTGAGATTAATTCTTTCGTTTTCTAACTGAGCCTTATTCAGGAACAATTTGTAATGTTGTAATGTTGTAATGTTGACTGGATATTATAAAACTGAGAAAATTATCAAAACTGCTTTCAGACAGTGTAACATCTTTTCCCTAATATTTATTCTTAAGCTCTGCAGGAAGCTTGTAAAGAACAGAATGGATTCTATGCTCAGTTCTCTAAACTCTTCCCCATGAGGGTGATATCCTACCTGATGCTGCCATACACACTCCCAGTGGAGTCTGCTTACTCAGTTGCTTTACGGTAAGGAACTTGTAAAGAACTCTTCTGGAATTATCAGCATCTTGGAAATGTACTCATTGAGAGCTTATTCAGCGTTGGCATTCTGGGAATCTACAATTCAAGTGGTAACTGTCAAAAGACCCATTATTTCTACCTACGTGATGCATCCTCCTAAAGCCTATCTAATCCAAAGCTGGATAAACATATTAGAAGATTCTTATATAAGACTCATTTTACTAATAGCTATCTCGTAATTGCTCAAAAGAAGCACCTTTAGTTGTGCTTTCCAGGAGTACGTTCTTCATTGCTATATTCTGCAGGGGTATCTGAACTCTCTCCACATCCTTCTTATGCTTCTTTCTGAAATCAGGAGTGAAATCCACTGTTCACTCACCATGTAAAGTCTCTTACCAGTTCTGTTTAGGTTGACTGAAAGTTATGCTCTTGAAACAGGGCTTAATTTGGTAAGTTTCAATTCTTGTCAAGAAGTTATGCTCAATGAATGCACCATGAATCATAAGTTTTGTGCTTGCTTAAGGGAATTCCAGTTCTTGAGCAGTAGATGTCATGACTATCTTTAGAAAATCTTGAAAAATCAATTCTGGCAATCAAACCATATACAACTCCAGTGAAGTATTTTATTTATGTGCTGCTGAGTGTAGCACTTTTGTGCCATTTTTGTTGGATGGGGAAGAAGCAAGTTTCTCTAGATTACTCGGTGGGGTTTTCCTCCTTGTCCCACTCTGATGTAGCTGACTCCTGTTAAAGGTACCACAAGGAAAAAAAAGTACATTTGGGACATTGTTCTTGTTTTGCCTTCTCTTTGTTCTTCCATTGTGCTTTTCCTTTATTCTTCCTTCCTCTTCCACCTTGCTTTAAACTGAGAAGAAAGTTCCTACCACAAAGGTCTTGGAGGCAGGAATATTTTGCAGGATCCCTATGCTGGTCATAGGGTGTGGCATGCACACACTGTCAACCACTCAGAGATGCAGTGATTTGTGCTGCCCCTTTTCATAGCTTATAGAAGAGAGATGAGGGGGCTAGATGGGAATTCAGGGAGGTTGGGAAGAAATTGACACCTTGGTTAGGGGAGTTGATTTGGGGAGTAAAAAACTGTTTTGGGTATGGGAAAGGGTGTGTAAAAATATAACTCTGATTAAAGCTCTTGCTTACAAAAGCTGTGTTTTGGTTTTGCCTGCAGGTTGGTGAACTGGTTTCCTGACATGCCTGCTGACGTTCGATGGATGCAGGAGCAGCTTTTCCGGATTGCTGCCACAGTTTATGCCCAGGCTAAAAGCAAGCTGTTCTGTACAGCCAGGTGAAGTGGAGTGCTGCTGCATGCAAATGATGCAGTTTTAGAAATTCTCTCTTGCTGAAATGATTAAGGCCTTTTCTTGAATAACACTAATTGGCTTTTGAGGCATCTCTCTGAGCAAAAATGTAGTTCTTGGTATATATTTGCTATTCATCCTACTATCCTCTCTTCAGTTACTTGATAGCACATGTAATCCAGTGTCTTTTCTTCTTTCTTTTCTTAATGATACTTCTGATTCCTTTTTACAATAAATTTGGGGATCACCACCTTCCTGCTTTTACCATTATTTAGCAGTTTCTCATATTCCAGACCTACCAATCCTGAGTCTCATCATCTGAGACAGGCCTTGGGAAGACACAGAATCACAAATTTGTCTCAGAAATAACTTCTAAGAGGGGTTATTTGGTCATTGCATCATGATTAAACACACTGTTTTTCTTTTTGTGGAAAAGCAGCTTAAACTGTTTAACTGTCTGTGGATGGCAAGTTGAGGTATTTTTATTTGTGAGAGGTGTTGCGGCATGTTGAGTTTTTGTTGTTTGGGGTTGCTTTTGTTGGCTTTTTTTCCCCAAAAGCACTGCAAGAGAGAAGAGGAAACTTAAAAAAAATAGGGGATTCTTGGATAAAACTTCAGTTTCCTGTTTCTCAGATTGGTAAAGGCTAACCTGGTGATTCAGGTGCTGGTTTAGAGTGTAGCCAAGTTCTGTTCCAGTTGTTCAGGTTGGTGATAACAAACTGATTGTAAAGTGGAATGCAGAGATGGCCTTTGGGAAGGTGAACAGCTATATTTGCTACTTGTAAACATGACAAAAATGCCATTGAAACACTAATAATCTAATTTTCCTTCTTTCTTTTTAAACAGGAAAGACAATTATGCATCACTAAGAAAATGTCAAACTGTCCCATCTACTGTGGAATTTCGTTCCTCATACTGCCACCTTAAAATGCCTCACTCTGCTGCACACATTGAGAGCTGGCTCTGGGAATCTTCATGCTTTATGCACTCAACTATGAAAAATGCTTCTGCTGATACCCAGGAGCAGTCAGACTTAAAGTCCTATCCTAATTTCCTCCCAAATCCTGAGGAGTCTGCATTGGAAATAGATGTTGACTCTTCCTTAGAGACAAGTTTCCAAACTGCTCCAGAGTATTAATTGGGAAGTAGGTTCCACAGTTTCCAAAATTTAAATTTGGCACAGAAAATTAAAACCTAGACTAGGGATCACTTTGTTTGTTGCCAATAAGTCTTGGGAAATTACTTGTGTACATCTTCCTGGCAAATCTGCCTTGGGAATTTTACTGTTTCAAGGATTATAAAAACAGTGGCTGCTACACTAAGTAACAGATTATAGCTCTGTTGAAGCACCAGCTCAATGAACTCTACTAAGACTTGTAGTTAAATACTGTCTCTCTGGAAATAAATCTTTTTAAAAATTACTTTCAGCATAAAAATGTAAATTCTGTAAACATATTGTTAGACAAACAAGCATAGATAACAGAACATTTTTTAAAATGTAATTCTTAACAATATTATGTGTTAGGATTACTTTTATAGCATTTAAATGAAATTGGACTTTTACTCCCTTAAGAGGAATACACAAGTGAGTTTCTTAGTGGCCTCCAGTGTCCATTTGCCTTATATTTAAATACTGTTGTGTTTATGGAAAGTTGTCTGCACAAGACATTGTAGGAACAGTATTATTCTAGGTTGTTGTATGTACTCTGCAGTTCCTAATACCTTTCCTCTGTGTCTATTTCCCTCCTGAAATACTTCAGGTGAAAATGACATGAGAAATGGGGCACCTTCCCCCAAAGTGTAAACAAGTATGCTTTCAATGATTTCAGAGGACTTCTTTTATTTTATTTTTTTTTTGGAACTTAATATAAAGGCTTAATAGTTGATCAAGTGTTGAAAAGTAGATAAAATAGTGATTGTGGTTAGTAGCAAACATAGTTAAACTTTGCAGAAGATGTTAGTAAGAATCATTGTATGGCAAGTGGTGAATGATTAGGTTGTCTCTCTAATTGTTGTCAGATCATTTTTTATTTTTTTCCCCTCCAGTTTCAGATTTTTCTTTTCTTCTTTCATTTCCCTGTTGCTAAAGAAAGAAAGGTGTCCTGTCTCAGTGAGGTAGGATAACCCAAAGGAAGTTTCCCAAAATTGTCAGGAGCAGCAAAAGTGTAAGACTTGGTAGAGGTATCAATATTCAGGGATCTCTGCAGCTATCTCAAATAACAGGTTGAAAATTTAGCCAAATCATACCTCTATTGAGAGCTGGCAGCTTAAACCATTTTCACTACAAAGATTCTGCATGATTTTAACAACAACAATGCATCAGTAGATGAGGGCATCTGGGAAGGAAAGTGGTGTTAGGATTTATCACTGTTCTGATGGCTTTCCAGGTCTTGTACAATTTTTAAGTAGAAGGAAACAATAATGGCTTTAAAGTTGATTTGCACATATGTTTGGGGGGAGCCTGTGAAACTTCCCAATCAAGAGAGGGAATTCCGTGCAACCCAGGGAAGAGCTGCTTGAAGGCCTCTTGTCCAGGGAAAGAGGCTGAACTGTGATGCTCAGGAGCTGGGGCCATGGGAGTGTGAACTTTGGGCAAAATGTAGCACTTGAACTGGGCCTGCCTGTCAAACAGTTGTTTGATTTCCCTAAGCTTGGAGTGCTGCATTTTACAATATTCAGGTGGATTTTAGGTTGGGGAGGAAGTGCTGTGCTCTCTATTTCCATGCTCTACCAGGCTGGTGCTACTTAATTTTAACACTTCTGTTCATTTCTGGGGTGTAGATAACTTCAGACTTGCAAAAAAAAAGTTGGAATTGTTACTCTAACTACAGTTAAAATATACAAGATCTGTTTTAATTTGTCTTCACTCATTAGTTTACTATTATGTATTAGAATTGAAGCAGGAATGTCAAGTCTTTGGTCTTTATTGGAATACTTCTATTAACTACATTTAAATCAACCTTAACCACTTTTTCTGTTAGGCACAGCTCCCATTTTGTCTCCCTTTTCTAAAATAAAAACACAGTCTCTTCTGTTAGCAAGGTCTCTGAGCTTTCTTGAGTGTAATTCACTCTAGTGCATATTACATCAGAATGTGTTGACACCATTGATGGCTCAAAGGTGGTTTTTTTAAGGGTACTAGTCTCAAGTTGGAGCAATGCTTGTTCAAACTCCAGCTGGACCTGAATGTCATCTCAATTTAAAATTTTGTGGGTTTTTGGTTTTTTTTGAGTTTTGATAGGATTTTTTGTTTGTTTTCTGCAATCAGTTATTTTACAAATACCTTGTTGCATTTAAACAGAAAAAATTTAAAAAATAGACAAAGTTGGGTCTGAAGGGAGGAAATAAAAGGGGGTGTTGTTTCTAAACTAAAACTGACTTAGCAGATAACTAAATCGAAATAATACAATAATAACCTATTAAATAATTTGTTCTGTGAATAATAAAAGATGCACTAAAAATATGTATTTATAGTTATATAAAAATATATATTTATATTTAATAGAGATATTTAAGAACACAAAATATATCAGTAATGCAAAATATAACTATAATAAATAACTTTTAAAAGTTATATATAATAACTGTATTATCTATAAATACATAATACAAAAATAAAAATGAAATATAGAACTAGCTAGAGACAACAATTTAATGCAATGTAAAATAATAGTAGTAATAATAATTTACAATACGAGTTATCAGTTTAAAGTGCCCAACCTGATTCCCAGGGTTTGGGACGAATCCCGTGGGTTTGGGATGAAACACGTGCTTTTGGAGGAATCCCCTGGGTTTGGGTGAATCCGCCGGGGCTGGAGTGAATCCCCGCGTTGGTGTGACCCCCCGGGTTTGGGATGACCCCTGGGTTCGGGTGAATCCTCCGGGGCTGGAGTGAACCCCGGGTTTGGGATGACCCCTGGGTTCGGGTGAATCCCCTTTGGGCTGGTCTGGAGACCCAGCGCCGGAAGTTCTTCCTGGTCCCGCCCCTTCCGCCATCCTGGCCAATGGGCGCTGGGCTGGACCGCCTGTCATGGCTGCCCCCGTGCTGCGGCCCTGAGTGCCCCGAGCTCGCCACAGTCGCCGAGGCCGCGCCGCCGCCGCCGCCGCTATGGGTACCGTGCACGCCCGGGTGAGCGCCGGGGCCCTGGGGATCCGCCGTGACGGGACCCACCGGGGGTGGGACCCAGGCACCCGCCCCGAGGCCGCCCGAAGGTCGCACGGGCCCGCGCTCCCCACTGCGACCTTCGGGCCGGGCACAGCACGGCCGTGTCTGCGGTCTGGCGCCGTGTCCCGTCTCAGCCGCTCCGAGCCCGCTGCTGCTGGCACAGTCGGGCCGGGGCAGGGAGAAGGGGTCAGAGCCCATGCCTGTGCTCGGAAGCGCCTTCCCAGCTCATTTCTAGGTGTTTTTATAGAGTCATAGATACTGACGGCTTAGAAGCGACCTTTACGCTCATCTGGTTACACGTCCCCCTGCCGTGGGCAGGGACACCTTCCGCTGTCTCAGGTTGCTCCAAGCCCCGTCCAACCTGTCCTTGGTCACTTCCAGGGATGGGGCAGCCACAGCTCCTCTGGGTAACCTGTGCCAGGGTCTCCCCACCCTCACAAGTGGGAAAAATTTCTTAGTAAGTACAAAATTTCTTCCTAGCCTGGGTCTTTTTCACATCTTTCCTGAAGCTTTCCCGGAGCTGACCTCCCCAGAGACGTGGGCTGGCAAGAACGAGACTGGGGAAGTGAAAACAGAATCAAAACGACCCAAACCTAACAAAACCTAAAACCAAGCGGCTGAAAAATCGCAGTGCAAAGAGCAGCGCCCCTGGTGAGAACTGGAGGCTGGAGCATTGCGTGACTTGGAGAGGGCTGAGGGGCCTCATGTGCCTGAAATCATTGTGAATAGATGTACAAATCTCCAAATCCATCTACCAGTGCTTACAGAAGAACCACAGAGTTTCTTCTTCTTCCAAGTGTTAAGTTTTAAGGCAAAGAACAGCTTCAGGGAGCTGTCTTCAGTTAAGGCTCTGGAGTATATAAACACCATGACTAATGCAGATTGTGTTTAAAGACTTCTTGTATTCTCTGTGTCCATCTCTGGTGTGAACTGCTAGACAATATTGTGAGGATACAGAGTGTTTCACACTTGGCTGAAATTTGTGGCAGTGGTAGAAGCTTCCGTCTTCCTTTAGATGGATTTTGATATGCAACAGCAATTTAATATTGGATAGCAGCTATTCTGATAAGTCTTATTGTAGGACTCTTTCAGGTATAATAAATACAATCCTGCTGAGTGTGTAATTAAAGTGTTTGGCTCTGATGGTCAGAGCCTGAAGTTCTCAAGCTTTATTTGGAAGGTTACTTCTGGAAAGAATATTGAAATATAAAGGCCAATAAATAAATGCAAAGCAAACTGACATTCTGAGAACACCCTTTTTATTTTACTGTTCGACACTCATATTCTTGTGCCTCCTGAAGCCCAAACCAGAGAAGTGACAGCCTGATATTTTAGATTTTTTTTTTTTTTTTTTAAGAAGGGGGAATTAATCTTGTTACACAGGAAGCTTGTCTTAAAAGTTAAGGCTTTTTTTTTGGAAGAGTACAGAGTGGTTTTCAGAAATCATTCAATATGGAAGCTACTTAGCTTTTGTTAAAAATTTTACCAAGCAGGTAGGTGTCAAGTGTTCTGGTAATTCCTTTCATTTTGGTTCTCTTTTGCTTTTTTTTTTTTTTTACCTTAGGATTTGATGAGTCCGCTGTTGAGAGCCATGGGTTTTTCTCATTTACAAAAGGCACAAATCACAAATCCGTGTATCCTATTAACAAATGCCGTTTTCTTTTATGCTTTCAGAGTTTGGAGCCTCTTCCAATGGCTGGGCCAGATTTTGGTGCCTTGGGAGAGGAAACTGAGCTGGTTGAAGTTGAACCTGAGACCAAGCAGGAAATTCTTGAAAACAAAGATGTAAGTGCCTGAGCAACATTTTTTTTTAAATTTTTTTGTGGCGAGAAATAAACATTTGGGTTTTTTTTTTTTAACAGTTGGCAGTAATAGTAGGTTGCTGTTGCTTTGCTGTTTTATTATACATGAATACATAGGGTCATATAGATATTTCTAATAGAGGTAGTATAATCTCCATAGTCTCTTTTACAAACTGATATAGAATCATAGAATTGTTTAGGTTGGAAAAGACCTCTAAGGTCACAGAGTCTTAACTGTTAAGCCAGCACTGCCAAGTCCAGCACTAAACCACGTCCCAACTGCCACATCCACGTGGTTTTTAATCCCCCCAGGGGTGGTTACTGCCCTGGGCAGCCTGTTCCAATCCTTGACAACTATTTAAAGCAGATTTTTTTTTTACATTTACTCCTAAAATTATAATTCACTGAAAAGATTGGAAAAATAAGGGAGATGAAATCTCTGTAGCCCATTTGTTCTCCGGGTAGCATGGTAGGTGCTGTGATTTTTACAATAAAATTGTCTCAGGTGATTATCAAGATGAAGGTATAAAACCCCATAATGGAAGTGTTTTTCAGCTGCATTTGAAACTGCACTGCTTCTATGGTGATGATTTTAATGGAGTTTAAATATTTGTGGCTTGTACACTTGTTTGGTTTTATTCCTTTAATTCTTTGCTTATGTATAGCTGATAAAAGACGTAGCAAACAGCTACAGCTAGCTACATAAGTCTGTCTTATGTACTTAATACTTGTTTTCTGCAGTTGTTTCTTTGACCATACAACATTTACAATTAAAACCACAGCAGCTGTAATCTATCAGTGTTTCTTCTGCTACAACCATTGTTAGCTTGCTGTTAGAGATCTCTTTTCTCTCATTTTTGTGTTATGGGAACAATGTCCCAGAATCTTAGCACTGATTTCTGATAATGTAGGTTAGCAGGAATTAGCCCTAAGAATCATCAGGGTTTCTCACAATAATTCTTGTGCCTTGGTGACCTTGATCCTTGTTGTTAGATGCAAATCCAGTACTTGTGTGTAAAGATTTATTGTGTTTAGGTGGTGGTTCAGCATGTGCACTTTGATGGACTTGGAAGGACCAAAGATGACATCATCATGTATGAAATCTCTGATGTTTTCAAAGCAAAAAATCTCATTGATGTAAGTGCTGCAGTGCATAAGAGACTTGCTGTTTAAAAGTTAATTAAAGTTTTTTCTCTCTTTTTACTGCTTTGGGCTACTGCCTACAGACATGGGACAACTCTGTCATAATAAATAAATTATAACTCTAAATAAATTGTAACTACTGGAACCTGTTTGAATAATTGTTTGAACTATTAAAGTAACTAGGAAGCAAACTAACAAAAGGTATGAAGGTAATGAGCTGGATGCTCTGGGTTTAAATTACTTCTGCAGATGCAAGTGTTAAAGTGGTTGTGTTATGTTTTGAAGGTGTACATGTATGTCTTTATATACAAAAATCTGTGAATATTTTACGTCTTGGCTCCTCATTGTTTTTTGTTAATCTCAAAGGTACTAGATTATCTTGAAAGCCTCTTCCAACCCAAATATCCTCTGATTCTATGACTGAACTACTTTTCTCATGGTGTAGGTGATGAGAAAATCACATGAAGCTCGTGAGAGGTTGCTTCGTCTAGGAATCTTTAGGCAGGTGGACGTTCTGATTGATACCTGCCAAGGTGTGTATTCCCTCATTAATTCTCATTTTTTTGTTCTCATATATTCATACCTGTAATATTTATTTCCCTGTGTAATAGGCTTGACATTTTTTATGTGTGTAACTTAGTCTTGTATACTTTACTATAATTTTAGATGAACACGTGGGTGTGCTGTGGATACAAATGTATCTACATCAGTTATCCCTATGAAGGAAATCTGTTTGCATGTGTTTGCATATATGTGAATGTGTATTTAAATATTACTTGTCCATGAGTGAATTTTCAGCACTTAAAATAATTACAGTAAGCTTTTCTTAATCCATAGCTTCAAGGAACATGTGAGGGAAAGCTTGAAAATGTATCCTGTACTTGTATCGCACATTGCATGAAATTATTTAAGCCATTCATCCTATGATTGAATAAAATTGTTCATTCACATCCAAACATCCTTTCCTCAAGTCATTTCACTTTATAACATAGACTTGTATTATGCCTTAACTCAGTTTTCAAATAATTCAAGTAACTTTCTGTCTGCAATTATTAAAATAACTCTTTTGAGATAATATGCACTTCATTTATTTCTTTAGGAGATGATGCCCTTCCAAATGGTTTAGATGTGACCTTTGAGGTAACAGAATTGAGAAGGTTAACTGGGAGCTATAACACTATGGTTGGCAACAATGAAGGCAGCATGGTATGGATTATTTCAAATTATTAGTAATGCCTTTTGATATTCCTCTTACTTTCAGTTTCAAGGCTAGCAAGGAATTTGTTGATCCAGTCTTGATCTAGCCTTACTAAGACTTTATCAGGCCTTTGTGTCAGGCTTTCATTCAGCAAAAGCCTGTTTTGAGCTGGGGGACAATGCTGTAGCTTCCAGCTCAGCATTAGTTTTCTAAGTTTTGAAACTTCTTGAATTATTTCTTGCTACTATTGAAGATGTTTCATCTACTGGAGAGATTAGTAAGGAATATGGCATTTTGTTTCTATGAGATATACTTGAAGTATTTTCTTCTCAGTCAAAATGCTTTATATTTGACTTAGAAATTGTTCTTGTTTTCACTTTTAGCCCAGTATAAGTTATTCTGGGATGTAGAACACAAGGTTTTCATTAATTCTACAAGCTTTGGAACCTGTTTTCATATGACTCAATTAAGGATGCATCCAATTAAAATCTATGTGACCAGTATTTACCAATTGCCATAGGAAGTACCAGCTGTACTGCTGGTCTGTGAATGTACTTTTACCAGGAGTGCTGCTGTGAGCAGATTTTGCTTTCAGGTGCTCATCCTGCACCCTTTTTGCCCTCTCACTTGCACAGGGCCGCTGTGCCTGGAGCTGGTGGATAAGCCAGATCAAGGGACTCATCCTTTTCCTCTTAGGGGTATTTTTAACCTGTATAAGATCCCGCATGACTCAGGTGATGTTGTTTTCCATGTGCAAGAGGAGCTGGAACTGGATGAGTTGAGAGCTGCTTATGCAGCTCCACTGCCAGGACCCAGGTGCAGGGTGTTGTGGCCTGAAGGAAACCAGCAGGGAATCCTACCTGTTGCTTCCAGTGCTGCTCAGAGCTGACTGAAGGCTGCTTGGGTTTCTCTTTTTGTGCTCAGCTTCCTCTTCTATTTGATTTTAATTTATCAAAGAAGTGAAACTTGTGAATACTCTAAAAGCATGACTTGTATACACTGATGCTGGCGACATGGATTATGTTCCCTTAAGAGTTGAATAGATGTATTTATTCTAATCCCTTAAATTCAGTTGAAGCTTATACATCTAGTACAGCATAGTAAAAGCTTTTTCTCTTTATGGCATAATAACTGTCATTACAAAGCTCAGGTTACTAGTTTGCTTCCAACAGCTGTTAGACAAAGGCAGTCAGGATTTGGGAGATTTTTCGTGTTCTTTTCCAATAGAACACACAACAATAGTACAATGGTAGTGTTTGTGCTGAGAGGAAACTTTCTCCATCTTTTCTGCCAGAGGGACAAAAGCTGCCTGAGGGATGCAAGGAATATGTGTCAGAATAGGCAGTTTCAGTAGTTTCTGGAGAATTGTAGAATTGTGTTGTACCGCCATCAGGTCCAGTTGCGAAAAGATCTTGCTCAAAACAGAACTATAGGGAGGTGGCTCCATAATGATAATTATTCCTTGCTTTGGTTCTGATGAACCCTCCCTGAGGAGTTTTTCCTGAGGATCAGTGGGCGAGTTTGCAGTTTTAGAACAACTGCTTGTTGTGCCGAGTATTTGTTCTCCAGGGCTTTGAGACAGGCTTGGAGATTTTGCTTGAAGTAACACCAGTACTGTTGGCTTAAGTCAGAGTGTGGATTAAGTCAGCAGCTACTAAACAGCAATAAAAGTTGGATGTTTGATTGTAACTTGCACTGTTGGCTTTTGCTGCCAGTGCAGAGAGAAAACTGAGAAAAAAAGCCACATTCAGTTGCAAGTATTTTTAAATAACTTCTAATTCTTGTGATGTCCTTGTCTTCAGTGTGTGATTAAGATGCAAGAGAGCAAACAATATAATATGTTATGATATGAGGAGGTTTTTGGTTGTTTGTCTAGTGTTTTGGGGTTTTTTAATTTATCTTCTGTAGGTGCTTGGGCTCAAGTTCCCAAACCTCTTTGGACGTGCAGAAAAGGTGACCTTCCAGTTCTCCTATGGAACAAAGGAAACTTCATATGGCCTGTCCTTCTTCAAACCACGGCCTGGAAACTTTGAAAGAAAGTAGGGGATGCATTTTTCACTACTTCTTTTTTAGTGAAGGAATATGAAACAGTTAATATCTTTCATCGAGTAAGAATTGCATTTGTTCTTTCCTGAGGCTCTAGTAATGATGTAGCAGAGCTGGTTTCTTAATTTTTGTGGTTATTTAGAGCTGTACCTTAAATACCTCTTTCAAACCTGCCAGTAATGTTGTGTTTCAGTTTTTCAGTTAATGTATACAAAGTAACTGGACAGTTCCCTTGGAGCTCTCTTCGAGAAACCGACAGAGGAGTATCAACAGAATTTAATGTGAGTATAGCACAAGTGTAACACATGCTTCATTTACATTTCAGTTGAGCTCTTGGAAATATTTGGTTTACTTTTTGAATGATTGAATCACTCCTGCACAGGGGAGACTTCTCTTTATTTGAAAGAGGTCAGTGATATGAAAATGACAGAGGTCGTGCATCTTAGGCTTTTTGTTGCAATTCAATCTAATTTTTTTCTTCATTTTTTTTTAAATTATCATTTCACAGAGGCAACTGACTGCCTAGTTTACTGTATCAGCCCAATTCAAGATATTTTTCATATGGAATGGATTAATTAGTGTGCATCTAACTCTCTTGACTGGAGCAGAATTAACATAACTCTGAAATGGAAAAGGGTTTCTCTATTTCAAGAAGTTGGGAAGAAAGCCATAGACTTAAATATAAAAAAATATTTATTTTAATTTTGTAACAATTGTTTTCATGACTTTCTCAATTCTTTATTGTAGTTTCCTGTCTGGAAGACCAATCACACACTGAAGTGGGAAGGTGTGTGGAGAGAGCTTGGTTGCCTTGCTAGAACAGCATCCTTTTCTGTTCGAGAGGAAAGTGGACACTCTCTAAAATCTTCTCTCTCTGTAAGGCTTTTTCATAATAATATTTTAAAAACACTCGACTTTGAGTCATCTCATCTTAGGAGTGATACCAAAGGAGCTTTTTGTCTTTGGAGAGAATGTGTATTCCTTCAGACATCTTTTGCTGTGTTTGGTCATTGCCATAGAGTAATCCAGGAGGCCCAGAGGGAGAACAGGGAATCATAGTTGACTGTTAGGCTTTGGCTTGTTCTCCCTCTGTCTCACCTGCTATCACTTTTTGCAAAACTGCTTTGTTTTGTAGCAGACAGGAAGAGTAAATTTCCTCATCCTAAGCCTTTGGTAAACATTCCAGTTTCTGGTCACTTGCCATCTTTCACTTGCAGCTTACAAAACTGTAAGAGATAAACTCTTTGCAGATTGGTGGGTTGCAGTTGGGCTGCTGTCCTGTTTCTGGTGCATGCCATGGGCAGAAGATACAAATGTATGGATTTCATGTGGCCTGTAAATGTCAAACAAAGCCAGTCTGTAGGGATATTGTTGCAAAATCCATGTAGCTACACTAATCTTAGCTGGTGCTGTGGTTATCTTCCACTGATCTCATGTTTTGGAAGGAAAATAATGATGTCACTCTGAGGTATTCAACAGAATGCAACAGAGAACCTAACCCAAATTTTTTTGTTCTTTTCAGCATGCCATGGTAATTGATTCCCGGAACTCCTCAATCTTGCCAAAACGAGGTGCTTTGCTGAAAATTAATCAGGTAGCTTTAAATCACTTGTGCTGTTTTTGGGGTTTATTTGTGTGTTTTAATAAGTCTTAATTTATGTAATCGATGTTCATGTAAAAAATGTCTAAAGTTAGAAATTAATCTAAAATTGACTAGAAGACAATGAGGACTGATAATGACATTTTCTGAGTGTGCCTTTTAATATCATGAACCTTTTTTTATGGTGGAAAATTTTCATTTGTATGCCATTAGTCAGAGAGCATATCCTCTCCATCAGCATTAAATTATGTATTACCTTAGAGACACTATCCCTGACAGTATTAGCACTACACTTTCAGTGGGTATTAATCAGCCCTTCTTTTTTAACATTGTCGTGAAGAGATTGACAGGCTGTAGTCCTGTTGCTACTTACAAAATTTCTGAGACTTAAAAATGAAAGACTGGGTAAAAATAACTCTCCAAGGTATATGCATGTATCATTTTGGCACAGAAAATTATTTTCTTTCTTGTTACAGTCAGAGCTTTTCTAAAAGCTAGCTTTTCTGCTGTATGGGTAATAGATCAGAAACACTAATTTGTCTAGTGCTTTAGAGGCAGATTTGAAATGCTACTGGAACTAAAAGTAAGCAGCAGTGAACTGTTGTGAGTGAGAAATTCAGGGTTTAGGTACGGTGTTATTTGTTAGATCCTGCCCTTAACACTAAGTTAGTTCAGTCACTAAATGAGAATTGAAAATAACAAATAGTGTCATGCTCTTCTTTACCACATGAAGTCTTCTTAGATCTTGGGAAATACAGTCTTGATTTTGGATGCTGAATTTTCCAGCTCCATTCTATCTTGCCTTCATTTACAAAATGGCTTGGAAAGCAATAGTTTGGTTTAATATTTGGAAAAGAAAAAAATGCAGCTCATTCTTTTGATGTTCATGCATGCCTCAGTCCAAAATTCAGCTGCCTCACCATGCCACTGTTTCTGTATTTCTTGTAAAGGAAAACACTGCCTGTGCTGATGCAGACATGCTGAGCTTTAAGAGGGAAGAAACATCTAATATCTGCTGCACTTCCATAAATTTATGTCTTTGCAGGAGTTGGCTGGCTATACAGGTGGAGATGTGAGCTTTCTAAAAGAGGATTTTGAGTTTCAGTTGAATAAGCAACTTCTCTGGGATTCGGTAATTTTTTTAAAGATATTTTAGTAATTAACCTGAGGTTTTTCTGGGGCTAGTAAACTTATGTGTTATGATTATTTTTCACTATGGATTAGGAAAAAGATTGTGAAAAATGGCTGGAGTAGATAAGCTGATTTTGTTTACTGGAAAATGGACTATCTTTATTTTTAACTTTATGTTCCTGCTGTGCACAATCAATTGAAAAGTGGGAATTTTGGAGAGAACTTGTTTCACAGTTAATTACAAGAATAATTTTCCTTCGAGAAGTGATCTTGGTTATGTCTGTTCTTTGTGTCCTCCTTAGGAGAGATTTTTCAAAAACCTTGGAAGTTCTTAAAAAACTTAAACATTTTAAAACCTTCATGAATATTCTGTATAATCTTGGTTTAATTTTCTTTTTAATTGAAATTATGAATATATTACTGTTCATCTTGGTATCATAGCATATAATTGTTTCTTGTGTGTAAGATTATTGGGAAAAAATGGGATGACTGATTTCAACAACATTGATTTAGTATTAGGGGGAAATAGGATTTTTAATTGAAATACTGAAAAACTGAAATAAGAATTTCAACATATCCAGGAATATTTCTAGCTGCATTTAGAAAGAAGTTTGTTGGAGATCATGCACTAAATTTTTCTCAGAGCTGAATGGGGAATTAAACAGCAATTTGCATCATGAAGGGTTACAGTAATTTGTATCCCAAAAGTATTGATAATAGATTTCACTGTCTATCAGTAATACTTCTACCTGGCACTTCTACAGGCAGTGAGCAAATTATTAAATCCATTTGTTTCAGTGCTTTGTGTTGCAAGTATTACTTTTCATAGATAAAGAGGAACTCTGTATGTGTATTTCATGTCAGTATATTGAGTTGCAGAAGGTGGTTTCATGTAATTATAAGATTAATTTACAGATAGGTAATAATTGTACATTTTTGGCAGCTGCTTGTTGAACTCAGTCTCCTGTGGGTTTCAAATTGCCAGTTAAGGAATAATTGATGGCAGCAGTGCTGTCTTAATTCGAGACATGAAAATTCTCAAGACAAGAGGTGGTGGATGAGGTTGAGTGCTCCCTTAAGCTGTTGAAGTAGCATTTGGTTCAAATGTTCTATATTCACGTTTTCAAGGCATAGCACTGCATAAAAGAAAGAGGGCAGCAGCCATCAAGAGTTTCCTGAAAATCCTGTTGCGAATCCGACATAGAGGGTGTGATATCTATGGAGTGTGAGCAGCTGTAACTCTGGGAGATTGATGGGAGCTGTGCTTGAGGAATAAGTACAAATAAACAACTTGTTTTTCTCTCCAAAGGTTATTTCTACATCAGTCTGGGGCGGAATGCTGGTACCTATTGGAGACAAGCCATCCAGTATAGCTGATAGGCAAGCTTTTTAAATGTTTGGGTTTTTTTTTCCAGTCAACATGGTATATATAGAAAAATCTGCACAAAACAGTAGTAGTTCTGAGGACGATAAAATGTTTGTACTTAGCTATAATTACATGTTCATACTCAAGCTGTTTTCATATTTGGCTGGTAAAAATTTGTGATTTGCCATGTAGTAGCTCTGCCCATATTTATGGTTTCAAAATGGTTTTTACCGCCTGCAAAATTCTGTAGGAGGTAGAGGTTTAGACACAAAGCCATATTGTGACTCTGCTCACTCTATAGCCAATTTTGCCTTTTAATGCTGGCATTTAAAGATCACATTACTAAACCTCTTACAAAGTTACCTCTAAGTGAAGCATTAAATTAAATTTATCTGTATTCACTAGGTTTTACCTTGGTGGACCAACAAGTGTGCGTGGATTCAGTATGTACAGCATTGGACCCCAGAGTGAAGGTCTGTCACTTTTAAAACCCCCTCCTCTGACAATACTGTAGATGTTAGTGTGTCACAGAAAGTCCTTAAACTTTGTATAACCTGAAAATAGTTACACTCATTCTGTCTATTGAGAAGTGTTATAGTTTTGATCTGTTGTTACAGATTAGTTCTCAATGGGATAAAGCCAGGTGGTTCTTAGTTAAGCCATGATTAATCACTAATTTTGTAAACCATGTGTGTGTTCAGACTTGCACTCTTCCAGTGTGTCATTTTAATTAGTAAGTAACCTTCAAGCTGGAAAAGTTCCCAAAACATGTTTATAGCAACAGTTTGTTTGATACAGCCTATGCTCAGGTAGCTTAGAGGAAAGATAATCTGCTCAACAGAGGTGTTTGGAGAGCCAGGAGCTTCCTCAGTTCTGCTGTTACCGGTGGATTCAATATCCAGTATATTTTGAAGTTAATTTTTCAATTATATTAATTGCCCATTTTTAAAACCAGGGAAAGTATTGCAGAGGTGGTGAGGAGATAATTCTGATGAACTGCCATGAGTAGCTGCATGCCTCAGGCTGTTCTGGTGATGGAAGGAAAAAAAATGCACTTCCCTTGGAAGGTTTAAAGAAATGTGGAAGTGCTAATTTTTCAAACTGAGTTTGGATAGTGGTGAGTTTGGAGAGAGTTGGAAGGAATGGGAAGAGTTGTAAAGGGTGGAAGTAACAACTTATGGCATGTAAAACAACTTATGGATGTGGTTTTGTACCTTTAACAAGTGTTTCTTTTAATATGTTCCACAGTAACTGCCTTTATTCCAACATTTTGCCCAAACAGGTGATTATTTGGGAGGAGAAGCCTACTGGGCTGGAGGGGTGCATCTCTACACCCCTCTCCCTTTCCGTCCTGGCCGTGGAGGGTTTGGAGATCTTTTCCGAACACATTTTTTCCTTAATGCTGGAAATCTCTGCAATCTCAACTATGGTAAGACTCAACAGAATAAAAAGCCTCTCATTTCTTCATAGAAAAGCAGAAAGGAGAATTGTTCTGTCACTCAGAAGCACTTTGTGTACTGCATATATTTTGGTGCCTTTCAAAAACCTGCTGCTTTTAGCTTATATATTTGTAAGATTGCCAGAAGTTCATTTAGCTCTCTCCATAGTTTCCAGCACAACTTATAGGAAAGAGAACAAGTATTACTTGTAGGGTATGGTAGTGTCTGTGAACAGGTATGTTTTCAGACCAGTGTGTAACTAACACTTGCTATCTTACACCATTCTGAAGGGAGAATGAAAGATGATGTTTTAGTGGAGTTCTGGTGTTCACTGGGATGAACAAAAGAAAAAGTAGTAGCATTAGAAGATGAGGGTGTGGTAGCTGGGGGCTCTTTTTCCTCCCATCCCTATCTCTATTCAGGATACATTTCAGTGCATTAATGTATGGCTTTTCAATATGATTTCAGCCTGTTTTAGAATATAGTGATATTTGATGTCTGCCTCGCTTGATGGAAAAAAGATGACATCCATTTGGGAGGGAGATACTTCAATCAACTTAAAAATATTAGAGACCTATTAAATCATAGAACAGGATCCCAGAATGGTTTGGGTTGGAAGGGACCTTAAAGCTCCTATTGTTCTCCCACGTGCCGTGGGCAGGGACACCTTCCACTATCCCAGGTTGCTCCAAGCCAAATCCAGCCTGTCCTTGGACACTGCCAGGGATGGGGTAGCCACAGCTGCTCTGGGCAACCTGTGCCAGGGCCTCACCACCCTCACATTAGGAAGAATTTCCAATCTAGACCTGCTCTCTGTCAATGTGAAGCCATTCCCCCTTGTTCTGTCACTCCAGGCCCTTGTCAGTAGTCTCTAAGTTCCCTTCAGGCACTGGAAGAGAGCAGTAAAGACACTGAAGTCTTTACTCATTTTCTCCTTCTTGCTGGCAGGTGCCCTATAGGGGGACATAGAGACCAGCCAACAATCCAACTAAAATGACAGTATTTTTATTCTAATTCTGCTCTCTTGCTCTGCTGCTCATCCCTTGGTGTTTGACTGCAGGTGACGGTCCTAGGGCGCACTTGCAGAGGCTGGCAGAGTGCATCCGCTGGTCCTATGGCGCCGGAATAGTGCTGCGCCTGGGAAACATCGCCAGGCTGGAGCTCAACTACTGCTTCCCCATGGGAGTACAGGCTGGAGACAGGTTGGTTTAGTACACCAACTTCTGTAGAGATTCCTGCACTCCTGTCTGCTTTCTCAGAGAGAGTTCTGCCTTGTGGTTTTGTTTAGTCCATACCAACAGAGACATCTCGGTGCTGCTTTCCAAGCCCACTTTATTCACCTCAGTTTCACAGCTGGGTTAAGACTTTGCTGCCCAAGTGCCAGAATTCGTTTATCTTGAGAATATCTGTTGAAATGTGCAAATAGTTGTGCAGCAGCTTGATTTCTTGTGGAGAAGTGATCACTCAAACCATTTGTGGGGTTTTCTTAAGCCTTCTAAACCCAAATGATTGGATAAATACCTCATCTGATGTCTTTGATAAATACCTACTTTAATGTCTTTGCTTGAAAAATGGAAATAAGTTTATAGATAAAGAGAAAATAAGAACATTTGTTAGCAACCAATTATCCTGCATCAAGCTAAATATCATAATATGCAGTAAAAAAGCTTCAGGAGGCCCACTGTTGTCTGAGTATTGTGTGAAATAGTCTTTCATACAGGAGTAGGATTGTGTTTCTATGGGCGATGCAAATGTAAAATAGCAATTTCAAAATTATGGACTTTATTTGGAAATGTAAATGCTCCATATGGATGACAGATTGTCAAAACATTTATTTTAAAAAGCCTTTGTCAGCTAAAACCTTTGGAATTTGGGGATAGGGAGAATTGATTTTCATTTCATCAGTACCTTATGTCACTTACACTGTTTATTGTTTGTTTCTTTTCAGGATATGTGATGGTGTTCAGTTTGGAGCAGGAATAAGATTTCTATAATACAGAAATATTTTACATCGCTAAATGAAGTTGTGCTCTAGAGATGAAATCAAGACTATTACATACTTCAAAATGGTCTTTTTTCCTTGAAATGCAGATACACAGCTGAGTGATTTACCTCTTGGACTCCACAAGAAACTGCATTAAATAATTATGCTCCAAAGGTTCATTGTATCTCTGATTCTTATCAAAGATGTAAGTGTCTGTAGGAGTCTTATCTTACAGCTTTTAGTTGTTGGTTTTTACTTCAAGTATTAGAGTTTTGTCAGATATTGGCTCTTGGATATGGTTCGTATCATTAGAGTTTTATTGGTCTGCACAGCCTTCCCTGTTACAACCACAAGTCCTTGAAAAAGCTGTTACATGTCAAAAATGGTGCCATTCTAATGGTTCTAAATGAATCAAAATGGTCTGATTTGAATATATTTCACTATTGTAAATCACCTCTGTTTAAATGCCTCCTACAATCTGAATTGCATACTGTAAAAATTCAAGTCATGTCTAGCATAGTAAATACTAAAATTATAATTTTGAAAGGTTTAGGGCTCTGAACTTTGACTGTTTTAATGCTCTCAGCAAAGCTGTTGATTTATGTCTTGCAAAAGCAGCTTTTTGTAGCAGTTGCAAAAAGTGACTCCAGAATGTGTGGAACTACCTGGTTTTTCTTTGTGTCTCTCTCCTGACTTGTTGAGATGGTAATTTCACTTCAAAGTTATCTCTGGCTTTGTCACTTGAGTTATATTCCAGTTTATAAAGATGAACTTATTCATTATTTTGGTCCTAACATCTTTGGAGGTAATGACATACTGATTATTTTTATAGGTATCAATCCTGTGTGGTCATGCTGAGATAGTCTGAACTTGGAGTTCACTTTCCCTGTATCTACATTCACATTTTTTTGTTTTTAAGTGTTGGAAAGCTTAAAATCACAATACAAAGAAGATTCTGGGGAAACAGAACAGAAATACATGAACTGCTAAACTGTTTTTTTTTGCTTAGCTAAAGACAGCTTTGGACATGCTGGTGCTCTACTTTGCTGAATATGTCAGGACTGCCATGAAAGCTCATTCCCAATCAAGTCAGCACTCAGACCCCTCTCTTTAAAGAGAACACAGTTTTATACATTGCTTTAAGCATTGGTATGAATTGCTGTTGGTGTAATACAGTAACTAAATCTGGTTTAGTTGATAATTCTCTTCAAATGTGAAGGCTAAAATCTGGACTGCCTGGATTTGCAGAGCTCTGTTTGATTAAACATCCTTCCCTCCTTATAAAGTAGCAGCAGTAGGCTTACAGATGTTCAAAATGATGTGATTGACAGAAGTCAGCTGTTTCAAATAGCAAAATTTGGTATTAAAAAAAAATTTCAGTGTTTATCTAACAGATACTGTAGGAAGTACATATTTAACCAAGCATTTTTGATGGTTCTTTTATTGTTATGAGATAAAATATAAAACTATGTTAAGAATGTCAACAAATGTTATTAGTTTTTTCCAGCACTATCAACATTTTGACATATAAAAATATTTTTAATGTGAATGTTTAGATACTAAAATACTGTTAGGGTTTTCTCCTAGGAGCTCAAAACTGTATTCTGCTGCCTTAAGAGTTCTATTTTGTGCACGCTGTGTTTTACTCAAGGCTGCTCAAGTGCCATACTTTAGTATGACACAAGAGCCCAAGCTCAGCTGGCTGTTTGAGAGGGCTCAGCAGTGTTCTGAGTTGAGCAGGCCTAGGGGAAGAGCCCCAGACTCAGTGTGCACACCACACAGCAGCCAGAGAGAACTGAGCTTCGAGAGAACTCTAAGAAAATCAAGGGAGGAATGGAAGAAACTGCTGAAGGCTGAAAGACTTTTTGAGCACATCTTCTGACAGACCTCACTGTGCCACTTGCCAGGGAATTATCCAGTCAGATAAAGAGAGCAAAATCATGTTCCATGAGGCTCCACCTGGGTCACTGTTTTCCTACTGGCATTGCACTAAGTTGAAAAGCAACATTTTCTTACAGCATACCACAAGTACACAAAAGCTATCCAGAACAGAAAGTAGTCTGAATTCCTCTGGAAGAAGCATCTGTATTACGTGGTTGGTTCTATGGAATATTGGTATAATTAATATATTTCCATTTGAATTTTACTGCAGAGGCCCAGATACTTAAAATGGATAAGGTAGAAATCAGAATTTCAGTAGAAGCTGCCATAGTGCTCATAGGGAGAGCAGCTTTGGACAGATCTGAAGCCATCTTCTCGGTGGTTGTGTCTGGTCAGAGTTGAAACGATAAAAGGAGTAAGGCTGGCAGTCAGAACTGTGATTCAGAAGCTTGGTGTTTGTTTAAATGGAGAGTTTTGGTTATCAGTTTACTGTGGAGTACTGAAGATGCTCTTGCTTTTCAGGCATGCCACTGTTAGGGACAGCAAGGGGGCAAAGAGTGCCCCCAAACTGCACACGTGGAATGTGCTTGTGGCCTCCTGATTTCATGTGAGCAGTGCTGAGGCTGTAGGTCCCACCAGGCTCACAGAGTCCCTTCTGCTGTGGTCTTAATTCACTGTTTGCAGCCCATTCTGGGGGCTGAGGGAGGCCTGGGGAGGAGAGGACTGTTTTGGGACAAGGTTTGAAGGGTCTCAGTTTTGTGTCAGGGCACTTGCAAGCCTGCAAGGTGGCAGTAGCATGTCAGAGGTACGGCAAATATTTCCGTCATCACTTCTAAGACCATGGGTGGTTTCCAGCTGTTCTGCTTGTATAAAAATGTTTAAATTGCTCTTCATATTTGGAAGATCTGATGTTGTCAGTTGCTGTTAATGAGTAAGTTTCTAGGGGGCTTAGGTGAAAGTGGAAGAGGAAACTGTGAGGTTGTGAGAATGTAAGGGGCAGGTTTGCTGCCATAGTAAGGGCACAACTATTTGATTTATATAATAGAAGCTTTACAAATAAATTGCAATGCTGATCTCAGTAATACAGAAGTGTGCTTCAACATAAGCACCTTTGCTCTCACTCTGTGCCTTTTTTCATACAGGTCTTGCTGCCAGTCTTTGCAGAGGTGTAGCAACTAAAGCTTAGTATTTCCTACCTACCTTTGCAAAATACCTGCTGGTTTTGTGAGGCATCTGTGTAGAAACAATTGTCCCTGCTCTGCCCTTTAAGGGAAGTGTTCCAAGTCGTTCCCATGTGTGATCAAACAGGGAAAAGTGATGGGAGGTCAGGTTGGCTCTCCCTTCTCTGGGCTGGGTGAGCACTCACATGAAAAAGTGAATTTTTGCTGTGGTATTACAGGGAAAGAAAACACCATGAGTCCTTTGTGGGACTATTAAGGAGCTGGTCAGATGTCTGGAAGGTTATACTAAATTCTGTATGGAAGAGCATAAGAAAATAATCCCAAAATTACAGAATTTGAGTGTACAGTACAGTTTGTTCTACTGTTCTTGTCTTGTTTTCAAGAGGGCTGGAGCCTGCAGCCACAACTTCAATAGGAATCTTTTCTGGGAGAATTTTTGCACAGCTTCTCAACCATGGCAAACTTATTGAGATAGTGGATGCATGTTTTATGAGAGCAGTGCTAAATTGCTGTAAGCTACTGCAATGCTGTTGGATGATTTTACCGTAATTGGGGTGAGACTTTGTGCTGAGTGTATCCTGTGCTTTCTTCTCTTGTTATGCAGAAAATGCAACCCAGAGCCAATGTCTGCATGGAATAAATGGTCTTTGTACAAGCTTTTCAGTTTAATAGAATACGTAATAGAAGGCACTCTGAAGCAAATCAGTGGCATCAGTTGGGCAGTACATTCCTACCTCAGTATTTAAAAAATAACATTATTAATGCTGCAACACCCCCCCCCCCCCCCGCCAAAGAAAACAACAAAAAAAAACCAACCAAACCCAAACACCAGCAGTCACACCCCCAACACATTTTCATTCATCTGGCAGACCAGGAAGAAAAATTAACTCTGTCTTGTGTTCTTAAAACTTCTATCCAAAGTCAGTACAGGTGGTGTTAGAAAAGACTGTAATGATTTGCTGGTTTAAGAAGTGAGTAGGTTTGTCTTGTTTCAGTATCTGAGGAAGAGAGACCACATATATAATGCCACTGTTACTTTGTGATACATCTAATTACAGTAACCTCAGGTAGTCTAAAATTTTGAAAGCAGTATAAAGTGCTATGAGGTTATAATAAAGGAAGAAACACCTCCATCAAAAAGAAGGTGAGCAATGTTTAAATGAGCAAATGTGGATTCAGGCTTTTAAGTGTTCAGCTAAATATTAAAGTAGGAGTTCAGCGCTGGAAATAAAAACAGATTTTAAACAAGGCTTAGTCTTTTCAGTGTAATTCTCTAAAATGATGTGTTTATGCTCTGGCAGTTTTCTTAATTAATATACACTCATTATTGGAATGAGTATATTCCAATTGGAATGTATTAGAATGAATATATCCTTACAGAAATGCATAGGAATCTCATCCCTAATGAGAGGAAGGTACCAGAGAGAATTTTCTGGCTGCAGGGGGCTGGTATCTCATTCATTATGGAGGATTTAAACCATATAGCTAGGCATGCTCTGAGCTGCAGGCCACTGACGTGGTGCAGCAGCAGTTGTCTCCCTGTTAGTGGCCATTAGCAAGTTAAATTACTGCACACTAACACTGATCAAAGCAGCGGTGGAAGCTCTTCATTTCCTGTTTTGAAGAGCCCTATTTGTTTGATGAGTCTTACAAAGGCTCCAGGTTTTCTTTTGGTGTTACTGAAGTGTAATTTGATTTTCTGTTACCATGGGCTCTCTCTTGTCTCAAATAACCCTGCCTCCTTTTTCTTTGTAATAGGCTGAATGTTTTTTTTACTTAGCTACACATTGAAGCATTTTATAAATAGATAGGACATCAAAGTCAAAGGTGAATGGATCTATTTGTGTGGCTTTATTTCAATTATTGAAAGACACTTCCTTTTAAATGGTTACATCTTGAGTGCTGTGCTGGAGTTAGTGAAGTTTTATTTACCATTTGTTCTGTGTGTGTAAATTAACCAGTTTGTTTGCTTTCTTGCTCAAAGTTTGTAGTCACACATCTTCTGATTGCAATTTCATTTTAAAAAAATCTGGTAGGACAACTGATCGATTTTTATGGGGCTTTTTTCCCCCAGAGGTTGGATAAAATGCTTTTTCCACACTGCCTTAAAGCTAAATGTAATCTGAGACTTCAGTATGCACTTTGTGAAATGAAAATATCCACTCTGCTAGTCCTGTTGCAGATCAACATTAATGTGTGGGTTTTGTATGAATTCAGGTTATTGATGAACTGAAAGTGAAGCTTGCACTTGTAAAAGGTCTCATGTGGTTTATGCCAGGAGAATGCAGTTGACATCCTTGCTAATAATTTAATTTTGCAAAGTAATTTTGTAACCGGTATTGATCCCACCCCTGGTAAATTCTCATTTGCAATGTAAAAGCCTCTGCTATGGGCAACACACTGTTGTTGCAGGAAATGAAACTTATTTGTTCTTCCAAAGAAGAAGTTTCAATGAAGTTCACAGAAGACTGCACTGCCATTCGAAAGAGTCTTTCCAGCCTGATCATGTGTGCCCTCCACTTCCCTTCTGCTGGCACTTGTCCTTGGGTGACTTCATGCTCAGTCACACTGGAAAGCTTGGGCTGGGTGATTTTGGTTTTTGTTTGTTGGGTTGGGTTTTTCTTTTAGTTGCCAAGGTGACTGTAGAAAAGCAGCTGGAGGGAGGGACAACTGGGTCTGGGTGACAGAGGGGATTAGCTTGGGATAAATCTCGAGTGAAACTGACTCAGAAAATGATCTCTGCTACATTCTGCTCTGGATGTGTCCTGCAGTGTTGCTTCTGTGTCAGGTCAAGCCTGCAAATCTGTCCCATATAAGCTGGGTGTGCAGCTCCTGAGCGAAGCTTTGTTGGTTTGAATGTGGTCCTTTGTTGGGGCAAGGGCTGCTGACAGGGAGGCTGCTCACAGGAGCACTGACAAAGGTTGTGCCTGCCTTTGGGGACCCAGCAGTCCCGTTAAAATCAGTGGGACCACTTCAGGGGCTTAAACAGGATCAGACCCTAACACTATAAACTCATCGGGACCTTTCTTTAACGTGTATTCCACAAGCCCCTTATCGTGCTCCTAGCTGCTGTGAAATGATAAGGAATAAGAAATTCTCCCTGTGGGAGCGTCGGTTTGGGGCGTTTCTGCACCCACACACCGTGCTGATGGCAGCAGCAGTGCGGGGAGTCCTGAGAGGTGGTGGCTTGGCAAACACAAAGCCTACGGCCCCCTTCTCGATCTTCCCACAAAGGCGATGTCAGACCTGACCGGCAACGTGCCAGGAGAAGGCAGGCTGGTCTGACAGAAGGGGCGCGTAGCTGCAGAATTAAGAGGCACACCTGAATGAAGCCAGCAAGGAATTGCGGTGCAATTCGGCACATGCCGAGCGTTTGCCCCCAGTTGTGTCCAACTGTTGCAAAATGTGGAATATGTAAAACTGTGCTTAAGAAAGGACGTCATTTCAAGTTGGACCTTCGTGTACTTTCAAGCCCAGCACCACTCCGGTCCGGCTGTGGGGGGACCGGGGGTGTTATTTTGCCGCAATGCTTTTTAGCCACTTTCCCTGGCACCCCACGTGGGTCCGGCGCACCAGGTGCCCCGGAGGAGGTTAACCCATTACCGCCTGGCCGCAGGTAATGCTCGGGTGGGCTCGGTGCCCGCCCCCGGGGGTGTCCGAGGCTCGTCCCGCCCCCGCCTCCCGCGGACTTCCCGGCCGTGGCAGGGCGCTGTGGTCGCGGCGCCTTCCAGCCCGCCCCCAGCGCTGCCAGCGCACATCGTGGGCTCGCCCCGCTCGCTCGGGCGAGTGATTCC